CACACACACACACACACACACACACATCCCCCCACACACACACACACCCCACACACACACACCTACACACACACACCTGTCGGATTACCACAAAGGTCTGCCTCCAGACTCACTCCCTCCACCGACGCAGTCATGGCCGCACAGGAAGTGACGTTGCTCGTTTCCATAACAACCATCAGCTGGGACGTGTTCACCTCTACCCTCTCCACCCACTTGGAAACATCTGTCGGTAAAAAACAGATCTTATGTCGACAAAAACAGATCTTATGTTGGCAAAAATAGATCTTAGTTCGGCTAAAACAGACATTAAGTTGACAAAAATAGATCTTATGTTCTTATGTCGACAAAAACAGATCTTATGTTGGCTAAACAAAACAGATCTTATGTCAACAAAAACAGGTTTTATGTTAAAAAAAATAGATTCTATGTTGACAAAAATAGATCTTATTTCAGCAAAAACAGATCTTCCTTCAGTGTCCGACTTGAACCATGTATCTGCTAACTCAAGTCAAACTCTTCCTTCAGTGTCCGACTTGAACCATGTATCTGCTAACTCAAGTCAAACTCTTCCTTGGATGGCCCTGAATAAGGGGTTGAAATTTAGCTTACCTGAGACACATGTCGTCCTTGCACTATGGGCAAAGATCGTACATAACAAGATGGTCCACTCAGCCAAAAGAGTGTCCACCGGAAGTCCGCGCATTGGTTCAGATGGCGCTGCAGTCTGTTTTGAAGCTCTCTTTTGTTTCTCCAGAAGAAGAATAGGAACAGCACCTCCTTGCGTGCGCAGACCGACTGCTGTTCATCAGCTGTTCAGGTTCGTTCAGTGCGAAGTTTTAGGTTTTTTTATTTTAATGACCTCACGCCTCTCATTCTAAAGTCAAATTAAACGAAGAAAACAGTCGGAAGAGGTTTTTTTGTCAGCGTAACCATTTTTAAAAAGCGGTCTTCCGAAATTTGAATTCTTATTTATTCAAAAACTTGTTAGTTTCACTTTGATTTTTTTCTCACAAGTAGGGTAATACTGTTCACAAAGGGTGCCCATTTGTATAGAGGGCGCCACCGAATTTTGAGGACACTTTTTAATTGGCTCAAACAGAGGAGTGGACCCTCTTGTTACGTAGACTCTTTGCTATGGAGGAGCAAAAGAACACCTGCCATGACACTGCCTGTTGTAATAGGCGACTAAAGGTGTTCCTGTGTGAAGGTCTGGTCTTCCAAAAAGTGCCAACTTGTGAGAGGGCAAACTACCCGACCACTTAAACACTTTGCCATAACATCTCGCCGATTAACGATGTTCACCACCCAGTTTCTTTGGATTTTCCCCCAAATGCCTTTGCCTTTGATGGCAAGAGTTTTTGTGATGGCAAAGTGTTAAACACTTCAGAAGTTGGTCCCTTGGTTGGAGAATAGGTATCATTGCAGAGGGGGGGGGGGAACAATACCATAGCTGTTCCTCCTTCCCCTCCAGGATCCAGGAAAGTTACAGAAACACAAGCCGACAGGTCTGATTTGCAGATGTTGAGAGACAGTAGAGCTTCTTCCAAAGAGACTCCACTCACCCAAAACTCTCAGTAAAACGAAACAAAACAACTCATGCATACAAACATGTACAAATCGATGTACAGAAAAGTGGGAAGACATCAAGAGGCTAGCCCAGGATAGAGAAAGGTGGAAGGTGTTTGTCCGTGGCCTATACCCTGGTGCAGGGTGACAAAGGCAATGATGATGATGATACAAACATACCTAGATGTATCTGCATGCCCGGCGAGGCACCCTCTCTCAATGTGGGTTCTTCATCACCCGCCGTCGCGGTGTGTGTCGGCCCGTGTGAGTCGCCAGGTCGCACAAAGAGGTCGCTCACCTCAGAGGTGAAGGTCGCCATCTGCTCCAGGGCCAGCTGACCTAGTTTCAGCCTCAGTGGACGCTCCACATGGAGACTGACCATGTCTGCCCGAATTATAACAATGACAATGACAATGACAAAAATATTAACAATAATAAGAATGCTAAAAGAAATAATAATAACAATAATAATAAAGATGAAAATAATATTAACAATAAAATTAATAACAATAATAAT